TCGGAAGAGAAGAAATAAAGTATCTTTGTAGACACAGGGTTATGTTTTTGAAAATCTGAAAGAATAAGTGAAAATCTACTGCACACAATAAGCAGCAGATTAAAACATCAATATACAGTAATCAATGAGTTATCTATAGAGAGAACCTAGAACAAAGGAACAGAGATTTAAAAAAAGAGATATTTTACAAATACGAGAAGAAAACATAAGTGAATTCATTTATAAATTGGGAGTGTGGAGAACTTTCCTAACTGTAACTCAAAATCCAGATTCAATTAGGGAAAAGACGGAAAAAAAATTGACCACGTAAAAGAATTTTAAAACTACTACGTAAAAGAACTCAAGAAGTAGAGGGGCAAATGCCAAAAGAAATTTTCAGTCATATCATAGAAAAAAGGGTGAATATCTTTACATTATAAAAGGCTTCTGGAGACGCCACTGATGAAAAAGATGGACAGCCCAATGGGCGAGAGATAAGAAAGGTTCATAGAAAAAGAAATGCAAATGACCTTGAATATCTGAAAGCACGATCAACCTCCCACATAATAAATGTAAGTAAAACTTGACAGACATAGAATTTCTTACCTAGTAGACTGGCAAGAATCCAAAAGTTTTGCCGTCATCTCTGCTGGAGAGGCTGAAGGGAAATATGCAGTCTCATGCATTGCTGGTGGGGATGCAAAACCATGTGACCTTTATGAAGGGGAATTTAGCAATATCTACTAAAATTACATATGTGTTTCTTTTTCCATTAACTAGACGATCCCACCGTTAGAAAATTATCCCGAAGTTATACTGACAAAAATGAGGAAAGGTGATTGCACAAGGCTATTTATTGCAGCACTGTTATATATAACATGTAGATAGATTTTGTGTGTGTGTGTGTGTACACCAAGAGATTGATGTAGAAATAATTCCAGAGATATGTGTATACATGGTTAGTATACATACATGTATTTCTTAGCTTTTTGTGCTTAGAGGGCCTAGAAGCAGTGACACCCCGCTGGCAATGAGCACACCTAGAATCCAGATCTTGGTTTCTCAGGATTCTCCAACAAAAGGAACCAGGGTTCCTTTGAAAAGTGGTTGATTCCAGGGCTGAGGCAGAAATTATGTAAGTTGACCCTGGAGCATTTTGCAGTAATAGAAAGTAACAACGTGCTCCACAAAAATAAGATGGAGGCATGCCAAAAGGACACACGAGACAACCCAAGGAGATCCTAATGGCCCAGAGCTGGAACAATTTGGGTAACAAAGTAAATCATGATGGTATTGGACTAAAACTAAAGAATAGAATAAATATCTCTGCATTCATACTGACACAAATAAATGATTGAATAAATGGTGGAGAAGGAACAGTTCTTCCCCGCAGAAGAATTCTGATTAATAAATGTAAAAAGAATGAGGGAAATAGAAAATCACCATTGGAACACCACAGTAATAATTGCAGCAGGCAAGATCCATTGATGAATGCTAGAATTAGTAGACAGAAGTTTAAGGAGAAATACAGTATTAATGTAGCCTCAAAATATCTCCCCCTAAATAATTATTAATTATAGAGGGAAAAGTAGTAACTTTACAGTGGAGACGCCTGGCAGACACCACCTTAACCACGTGATCGAGGTCAGCATCCTCAGTAGTAAGATGTAGTGACTTCATGTACCCCCTGATATGATGTGATCAGAAGGGCAGTCACCTCGTGTTGCTCTTCAAAAAATCCTCAGCCTCCACCTGATCATAGGAGACCATCCGATGTATCCAACTGATGTGATGATGTGGATGGCCAGATGCCTGACCAGTTCTCTTCAGGAGTGTCTGAAGAACTGTCAGAGGTTGGAGGAGACTTTGGAGTTGTGGCTGCTCAATGCACTGTGGGGTCCTGGATTGGATCCTGGAACAGAAAAAGGACGCCAGTGGAAAAGCCAGTGGAATCTGGTATTGTACCAATGTTGATGTCTTGGTTCGATCATTGTACCGTGGTTACAGCAGATGTCAGCATTAGGGGAAGTGGGATGAAGGGTATGTGGGAAGTCTCTGTATTTTTTTTGGAACTTTTTTGTCAATCTAAAATTATTTCGAAATAAAAGTTATAAAAAGGGAGGAAAGCACAGGTAGAAAAGGCAGGGAGATAAGATGGAGAGGGTAGGAGAGAAGCTAAACTTGTCTTAGCAGAGACCCACTGTGCAGATTTGACTCTGAAACTCTGATATAAATATAAGAAATACATTTCTTATGTAATAATAAAAACAAAATTACACTTTAAAAAGCAAACCCTAACCCTAAAAATTGAGAGTAGAATGAAATGAAGTATCTGAACTATATATCAAAAACGATGGCAGAACTACATAGAGAAGGACTATTTCAAGAGACTAAGATAGAAATTTGATTGTTCCTCCCTAGTGGGATGTAACCTAAGGGCAAAAAGAACTGCAAAAAAACATACTGTTTTCAGTTATTCCACTGTCAGTGGTAGGGTTGATATTGTTGCTCCAAGGCTGTTGTTAGTGTTTACAGACTGGAGTGAAGCACATCAAGTGTGTTTAAATCCATGAGTTTATAATGATACTGGGAGGAAAATCCTTAGCCACCTTTGTAGGATATTAGGGAATCAACTCTATTTTGATAAATAAAACTCTGTTTTGGTAAATAAAGGCTCAGAATCAAACAGTTTTTCTACCTCATCTAAATAAACTATATCTCACGGTAACCGAATGTTCGTGGAGAGACGTTTCTTTTTATAGAAGTACCCCAGCTAACATTGGAGATTTACAGTACTGCCATTTGCAACCCTCCACTGATGGCATGCCAACACGGCCAGAACAGAGACACTCAGACATAGAGCGTCTCCTGATGGAAGCACACTGTGTTACCCGTGGAGCCTTCTTGCCAGAAAGGGAACTGATACCTAATTAAGCTTCTGCGTCTGACTTCCAGTTTACAGGAAATACAGTGGACAAGGGAACATATTCAATGATTCCATGTTGGTGCAGTCAGCAAAAGCCAGACTGTTGGAAACTCTGAAGGCAAACGACCACTTTTCCCAACAAAACTATAAGCAGGCGAGAAAGAGTGGAGGGAGAGCCTATAAATACAAGTCTTAGGAGACTTTTATCAGTCAGTTCTAATATGTGGATTTCAATAACTTTTACTTAAATATGATTTGTAGAACACGTTGTGAAAAAATGAGGTCATTGGGGAAATTAGACCATTTAGATGTGTGAAGATATTAAGGAACTACTGTTAAGTGTTTCTTTTGTTTGTTTGTTTGTTTGTTTTGTGGTACGTGGGCCTCTCACTGCCGCGGCCTCTCCCGTTGCGGAGCACAGGCTCCGGACGCGCAGGCTCAGCGGCCATGGCTCACGGGCCCAGCCGCTCCCGCGGCACGTGGGATCTTCCCGGACCGGGGCACGAACCTGCGTCCCCTGCACCGGCAGGCAGACTCTCAACCACTGCGCCACCAGGGAAGCCCTATTAAGTGTTTTGAGTGTGACGGTGGTGTTGTAGTTATGGCTTGAAAGAGTTTTACCTTTTACAGATACTTTCTAAAATATTTATAGATAAATTGATATGGCATCCACATTTGCTTCAAAATCAAAGGGCAGTTGTGTGGAGTGCATGGGGAGATAGGCAAAACAGGACTGGCCATGAGCTGATGATTGTTGAGATTGGGTGATGTGTACATGGAGGTTCACCTCTCTGTCTTGTGTACGTTTGACATTTTCTATAAGAAAATTTAAGGAGTATGTTAAAGCACTGTCTATAAAACGCTGGGGTTACTGTCTAGTCCCCAGTAGGCCTACAGTAAATGGCAGCTGCCATGGTTATTGGAGGTGGTGGTGTCACCAGCATCAACGTCACATCCTCATCTGTGGGAAACAGTCAGTCCTCTGGTGTTCCAAGTTCATACTTGCAAGGATTTGCTCTCTGTTACACATAGACATTGGAATGCCAGTTCCTGATGTAGAACACCATCTCTCCTGGCCAGTTGGTGCTTTCGTTAGGGCAGTCATGGCGCTTTCCTCTGGAGGTCTCGCTCCTTACAGATCCTGACACCTTCAGCAGAACTGTGACTCAATAAAAATAGTTGACACCAAGCCACGTACTGGACTCCAGAAGTGAGACAGTAGAGCAGCTAAGAAGCTGGGCAGGGGGTGGTCCCCGTTTGACGACAAGCTGTCTGTTAACAGCAGCTGGGCTGTCGCCAGCCTCCCAGGAATGCGCTGTAAAGCACTGTCCTTCCCACAGATGGTTATTACAAAGAGTACCCCAAAGAGGGGAAGCCAGTCCATGCCCATCCTGTTCATCACAGGCTAAGCCATTCCTCGGATCCAGTCAGTGTTGGCCACTATGTTGCTTCATGGTACTTAAAAGGAAATATGCTTCTGTTTGTTCATTTATGCATTCATCAGACATTTATTGGGTGTCTACTAAATGTCAGGCTGGAAATGCCTAAATGAACTTGACCACTTGGCTGTAAAAGAATAATCACATTCTATTCTGAACCTGTGTGAGTAACTGATGAGTTCTTGTAGAGAGTGATCACTTTGGCTCCTATAAATTGTGTGTAAAATCTCCTTTTTGTTCTTCTTTATTGGTGACTGTTTCCTGCCTTGCAGTTCCAGAAGGAGGTGATTATCAATATCTGGTTCTTGTGAAAACTCCATCCCGCTTCTTCTCTCCTTAGGCATAAGATACCTGTGAATGTCTCTTTAGCTCCTCGTACTCTCATGAGTCCTGATTTTGCACAGATGTATTTTCTCTGGTCAGTTGTATTTCTCATATCCTTCCTGTAAAAACCAGAGCAGCATGGGTAGCTAAGATCTGCTGAGATCTTGCTCTGGGCCGGGACCCGTGCTCGAAGCTTTGCCGAGTGTTATGTGATCACCTGTCCTCTCTTCCCTGCCACCCTCACCACTGCTGTGCCTTCCTCTCAGCCTCACGGCAGGAGGCCCGGGCACAGGGGAGGTACGGGCAGTGTTGGTGGCCATGGGAAGAGCAGAGGACACAGCAGAAGAGCACACACGAGAACCTCTGAGCGTGTGTCATCTCTAGTTATGGACAGCATACTCCGTTCCCTACGGCAAGGACATGTTGCAGGAAGTTTTCCACCGACGCTGGTTTTAAAAAGTCTCGGCACTTGCAAAGAGAAGTTTTGTCTTTGGGAAGTAGGTTTTTACTGGAGCACTGATTTCTCAGGGGTGCCTGCTTAATGAGCTGCTGCAAAAGCGTTGCTTATGTGCATTTGTTTTGTCTTAATCCATTATCCTGGGACTTCTGGGTAATAGGTGATCTTCTAGAAGGTCACATGGATGATGCTGTGTTTTTATTTAGCCAGCAACAGAAACTCCGGAGGAGCCCTCCACCCAGTACCTGCATATCACCGAAGCCGAAGAGGACGTCCAGGGCACACAGGCAGCAGTGGCTGCCCTCCAGGACCTGAGATACACCTCAGACAGTGGTGAGAGCGTGCCCCCACCCCCCTCTGACACCTCAGAACTGGTCTTTGATAGACACGCTGAATGAATGACTTTACGGATGAATTATGACCACCAGTTGGTCTCCTTCCACTGCATTCTGACCACTAGAGCGGTCCCATTGTCAGGCTTGGAGGTAGAGCTCTCCTGCAGTGTTCTAGAACAGGGCCCCAGCCAAGGTGGTGCCACCTAACAGGGTTGCCGGATGTCCACACGTATGATCACCTCTCAGAACAGGGAGAAGCAGGTCCTACTGTCCTCACTTCACAGATGCGGAAGGTTGCCTCCTTGTAAACGGTTGGCTGAGGATCGTCCACTGGTTGGGTGTTGGAGCTGGTCTTGGAATGGAGGTCTCCTGACGTCTTGCTGGGACTGCCCACTTCCCAGTTCTTCTGAAAAGCCCCAAGTCAGGATTTTTATGTCAAATGTCGTCAGTTTCAAATGTTCGATCAATTTGAAAAAACAAACCACTGTGCCAGCCTAGTGGCAACTGGGGCATTGTGCTTAGAAAACATTTTCTTGATGCTCTTTTCAAAACAAGAAAGGAGTACGAGTTAATATAATGTACCACAGCCCTCTGTGTATTTGGGGGACAGAGGTCAAGCAAGTGGGATTAGAGGAAGCATTCAGTGAAGTCGGCTGGTGATAGGAGACAGGAAATTGCCATTTCATCCAGCTCTTACATCCCTAAACCCCAGGTTGTAAGAAAGGTGCGCAGAAAACCCCTTTGGGCCGGTCACTTTGGGGAAGATTCATTGCCGGTGCTGTGCTCACCGGGGGGTTCGGTTCGGGAGACAGCTCTGCAGCCTGTGAGAGAAGCAGGCTCTGCAGATGGGGCGTCAAGGTGCTGGCTCTTGGTGCAGTTCCCAGAGCTGACGCCATGTCTCAGTGTGTGTTTCCTCCCTCATGTCCAGTGACTTCAGCGATTGCTCAAGCCCTGTCAGGACAGCCTGTCCATCTTCATCCCCCACCAGCGCTCACTCACTCACTCCTTCAGCCCTCGGCATCTCCTCCTGGCTCTTAGGAAACACGGCAGACTCTGCAGCTCGG